ATTAATTATCAAAGTCTAGGATCCAAGTTACAAAACAAAATAAATGGTTAGGTATCATTTATCACATCCATTTGAATTCAACCCGTAGATATCGATTATCAACTATATCTAGCTATATAATTCCTAGATTTATGGGATCGCTAATAACAATTTTAATTAGACATGTTTGATCCCATCTATGTCTCAGAACTCTCTTGCTTAGATATCCTTTATCACAAAAGATTCCTGATCAAATCGTACAATTTGAAAAACTTGTGTAATCGGCCTATAACTTGGTTATAGAAATCACGAAGAAACCCCGGCCATCGAAAGATAACACTAAGTGGTTAGGTATCCTTTATCCCACTAATGCATACAAGATATGTGCGAGTGTTCTTCAAAAGGAATATATAGATTTGAGGTTTGTAAAAAAAGAGTCTTTATATGTTTTATAATTATAGTTTAAACACATATGATATCATGATTATTACATGCATATAATAAACCATGGTATCAATATTCAAAATAAAATCACTTTTAAAGGTTCTATATAAAAAGCTAGTTTTTATATAATTTGATGCAATTCAATTTTAATAATCGATATTAAGTTTGAATGCATTTGAACCTTTTATATCATTGATAAAAATTCATTTTATTACTTATATATTTGGAGTTTGTATATGTTACAAAAATCACCATTTTAAAATTTATAATGGAGTATTTCAAAATTTGTCATTATTAACGATTTTATAAAACCGAGTTTATTTTTAATATAATAACTTGTTACATCTTATGTTCAATTTTGAAAACCAAAATCCATGTGATGTTTATTTTGTCCAAAATTATTTTATCATGTGAAAAAACTAATTTATCAACCACACATAATAATTGCATAAAATAAACAACACAAACATGCATAAAAAGATATGTGCATAAACATAACCAACTAATGATATTTTTGTGAGTCAACACAAAAGATGCCAAGTCCATTCCTAAAGGGACGTTTAAGGGGACCAAAAAATATTCTTGTAATGTTGTTGTAGAAGCTCCCACTTGAGTAAACACCTATTGCTTGCAAAAGATTGGACAAACTTCTTCAAAGGAAAATTTTCAGCTTTTTATGACACTTTTCAGAAAGTGTCATCTTTCTGTTCAGCATATGTACAGCATATGTGTAGCATTCATGACACTTTTCAAGAAGTGTCATCTTTCTGCCCAGCACATGTTGAACTCGAGATTTTCCCTTTTGTCTTCAAAAAATGGCTCCAACTTCATTTCTTGTTATGTCTTTGTACAAATAAATTATTTCTAAAAACTAATATATTACTTTACAAAAAATAAACAAGAAAACTAATCTATTTAATTATTACATACCACATTAATAAATAAATTATTACAATCATTTTTATAACAAAAAACAACAAACACAACTACTCAACAATCATAATGATCATTGGCTAGTTTATGCACATAATATACATCAACATACACATAAAACAACATTTGTTTCTAAGACAACTTTAAATGACAAAATATGCATGAAATTTTTGTCATATAAAATAACAAATATAAAGTTGTCATAGAAAATATATATGAACTTATTTTTATATAAAAACAAGTTATTCATATTCTTCAAAAACTAAGATTTACAAAAATCAAAAAAAAATCTAACCAAACTTGCAAGGTGATTCGGATACCCATGGTTGGGTTTTAGTTCAAAAATTAATTTCAGAAACTACAAAGATTGGCAAACGGGAGACTTTATTTTAGAACATAACATAAACATTTTATACCCTCCAATGATCTTCTTGCAAGTTATAGAAAGATTAAATACCAACCATAGAAATGATGAAGGAATAACAACCTTTGTTGTTCTTTGGGTCCTCTTGGGAGGCTTTGAAGTTGATGAAGAATATGGAAACTTTAAGATACCAACAGTGACTCAACTTGATGTAGATGCTAGTCCATAAACTCTTAAACCCTTAAGCTTTAAGTTCATAACCGATATGAACTTAAAGAGGGTATGAAGATGCAAGTAACTTCAACAAAATATAAACAAAAGAGAGAGAGTATCCTCCTCTAAGAAGGTTATGGTTTTAGAGTGAAGAACCAACAACAAGTGAAAGCTTTTCCACCTTTTTAAAGCATGCACAATACTCATGGGTCTTTAACCATTAAGCACATATGCATCTACTAACTAGATTTTCCCCCATGCTTCTTATTACTTTTGATTAAACAAATTGGAAAGCCATGTCCCCTTATGACTCTCTTAATTTTGGCCATCATGGAGAAAAAGAGAAAAGGAAGTTTATATTTTATAAACTCAAAGTTTATAAGATATAAACTTTGTCTTTTGCTAAAAGACAAAAGGCTTACCTAGTCCAAAATGTTGAACATGACTAATTAATTCATACATTATGAAATAATATGTTACTTGCTAATGAAAAATTATTATTTCCAAGAACTAAATAATTCCCAATTTAATTATAAGGGTTTTATTGAATATTTATTAAAATCAATTTCTAATAAATAATCAATTATATCAAGTTGTTGTTAGTTGATCTATTAGTATCATATGTTAATTAGCAATATCACTTTAATATGATTCTTGAGCATACTAGATCCTTCACCTGGACCGTCCAGGTAGGTTGTAGGCCATACGAGGTGGTTCAATCATGCTGAAGGCCCGTAGAGCGGTCCAGATAGGTTGTAGGCCTTGCGAGGCGGTCCAGTCAAGCTGAAGGCTCATGTTTGCATGCCATTGTTTTGTTATGTTGTGTGATAGTACTTTGGGGGAACTCACTAAGATTTGGCTTACGGTTTCAGTTTATTGTTTCAGGTACTTCAGGTGATCATGGGAAAGCGAATGTTTGATCGTGCATATCTTCTTATTTTCATGATATTGGATTTTATGACACTCTTATATGATTTTACTTTTGAAAAAAAATGGCTTTTCTTGTAAACAACTATGGATAATCGGTTGTTTTTTAAAAAAAAAAATTATGGTTTTTGGAGTGTTACACATCTGAAGGAGAAGTTTTCATATGTAAGGATGAATGATCACATGCAATTTGAAAACATGACATTTAAAATACAAACGATTTAAATGAAAATTTATTACAAGATTTGCTAACAAAGAAGAACAAAGAACATAACATATGAAATGAAAACATTAAATCAACAATATTTTAAAATAATAAACTTAAACATAGATATTATGAAGAATCAACAATAAAAATCGACAATTTTGACTTAACAAAACCTGATGATATCAATGTCGATTTCAATGTAGAATCCATAAAAGTTAATTATGAATCCATACAACCTGCAATTGATGAATACATTAAGAAACAAATAACAGTGAATGTTGATTGAAATGTCGAATCAATAAAAGATGATTCAAAATACATAAAACATAAAATCGATCATGATTATGCATTTCATTCATATAAAAAAAACTTTTCTAGATCGAATAAGATAAACAAAAAGTTTAATCGAAGATGATTAATGTCGATTTCAATGACGAATCGGTGAAAGATGATTTCGAATTCATAAAACTTGAAATCGATCAATATTAAACAATTCAATAAAAAAAAACATTACTAAATCGATTGAATAACAAATAAACGACCTTCATAGATGAGATAGAATATAGCTTAAAGAAATAAAATAGTACCTGATCCAAAGTCAATTTCTATGATTTCAATGAAAATGTTTTGATCATCGAAAAAGATAATATAATAGATATATGATTTACTTAAGTATATGAGAGATAACGACATGTTAGTCGAGTGTAGAATGCGAAATACCCTTCCACCTTAAATGTGACTAATTAAAAAAGTTAGACATGATTAAAGGAGGTTAATGGGTTAATAAGGGTTATTTGGTTCTAAGATTTAAGATGATTCACTGTTGAACATCTCTCTCTATATATATATATATATATTTATATGCTTCTAAATATTTATTCTTCTAAAAATGTATCTATAATTACATCTTAAATCGTAAAGCATTTAATTTTTATAAAAGTGAAACAAATATTTATGTTTCTAAAAATGTATCTATACTTCTAAGAACATAAAAACATGTATTTATATTTCTAAAAATCTATTTATGCCTTTAAAAATATATCAAGCTTCTAAACACATATTTGTATTATTGTAAATGTACATTACATGTTTTTTATTGGACATGAAAGCATTGATTTTTTATATAGTTTTTCTTATTAATAATTAGTATAGTTCTTCTGAAAACTTGTTATATTTGATATAAATATATAATTATTTGATTTCTCTTTTTTTATGTATATAAAATTAATGACTTAAATCACGTCTTGAAAACGTCATTACTTGTCATACCATGTAAAACTTATTGTTTAACCTTGTCGCCAGTCACATGCTATTTAGAACATTGGTTTTAACACATCAAATAATAATGTTAAGATTAAATCCTATTTGTTTTTTAAAACTTAAAGGCTTTTGTTTTCTTTTTAAAAATTAGAAAAACAAACCCAACAAAAAAACAATTTAGATTTTTTATGTCCAACAAGTTTTTAAGAAAAAAAAAAATAACTTAAATTAAAGAAAAAACAGACAAGTTTTCATTTTTTTAATAAAAAAAAATTATTAAGCAAAAAGCTATAATACTTTAACTATCTTACAACTATTTTTACCAAACTTAAATAAAAGTTGCACCCTCCATATTTCAACTAAGTTTACCAACCATTCACAAATTATCGGTACATTCAAAACAAGACCCATTCACAACCAGCCCACTTCAATAGAATTTGACACGATCCAGACCTCCGACCCGGATCCGGCCTGTCCAGAAAAAGGCCCACCAGGCCCATCCCAATTGTTTACACTTCACCTCTTTACACACAACTTCTACATGACCTACCCATCCTTTATTCTCAAGAAAATAAAATTACAAGAAGATTTTCTCATAGAGTTTGTGACTCCAAACAGAAATCAATAAACATCTCCAATAAAAACATAAATCAACAAATATCACCATACCATACACCACATGCAAACTCAAAATCCCCAAAAAAAAAAAAAAAAAAAAACACAAATTCTCATGAAACTCCAAAAGAGCGCCTTCAGTTTTCAATACTTTACAGAAGTGATATGCTTGAGAAGCATCTCTACAACATCAGTTGAAATCCTTTCAGCTTCTTTTTTCAAGTGTTCAATTTTTTCATCTGTTTCCTTCTCAAGACGCTTCACATTAGCACCCGAATCTCCACTTGTCTGTAACATTAAATTATATTTCAATTTCATACCCTTTGAGTTTTGATAATGTCAAACAACCCCCTTGATAAGAATTCATTTTATATGTTATACCTCGGTCAGTTTTCTTTGATAATCAGCTTCCATTTGAGCACGGAAGTCAGCTATCTCTTTCTCAGCCTCTTCTTTGGCTTGTTTTAGTCTAGCCAATTTTGCTAAAAAACGTGGAATTAATTAATATTATTATAACAAGTTTTTTAAAAAGTTATGCAAAAAGCTAAGTTCACATGTTTATATATATTAACATGAAGGTGCATTCAAATCATGATTCATATGTATTATAGTCAAATATGAACAACTAAATCTAAATCTAGTTTACCTAACATAACAGAAAATATGATGAATCAACAAAAGTGGAAATATCAAGTTATCAACAATGATCTTGAAATATTAAAAGGTTGAAATAAACAAAAGAAATTAAAATTTACAAACCATTTCGAGCAGCTGTGACAATTTGTTGAGCTTCTTGCTCTGCAGCTAACAAGAGTTGAATCCCATTTTGGCCTCTGCTTGAATCCATATTTGCTAATACACCACAAGGCTACATAATTTGAATATGTTATAATAAGATCCAATGGATACAGAAAAGAATGACATAAAATATGTTATAGAATGGATTAAAGATTTAAAGCCACAGATTTGTGTTGAAGGAATAACAAGCATACACGTTTCAAGACCATTTTTAGTTAAACTAATCATGGAAGCAACTCCACCAAATATTATAAAAGCACAACAGTTCATAGTATTCTTCATCAGAATAGACTCGATTACTAACCACAACATGGATCATGATTTAGATCTTGAAAAACATAGTCAAAATCACCAAGTCTCAAAACAATTGCAACTTAGTAGTCTAATAAACTATTTATCTTTCATAATTTGTAATGATTAACGCAAAATTGACGAAAAAAAGGAGGAAAGTACAATGATTTTCGGAGATGGATCGTTGCAATTGATTGCGACCAAGTGATTATCAATTTGAACGTTTGTTTTATTGATTTTGATCAACCTTGACCTACGAACTCCTCGGAGAAGGGGGCAGCCATTGGCGACATAACTAGTCGGAAAATTAAAGGAATAACATCGGTAGATAGCAATTAAGTAGATAAAGTTTAACAAAATAAGTTCAAAATTCTCCAAAAAAAGCAAGTTGAAACGAACTACAATGGCGGAAAAAGATTTAGAAGCAACGAAACAAACTGTGGAAAGATTAATCAATCATGGATTTAAGATCCGCACGAGTAATGCTAAGATTCGAAACTTAAGATCAACAGCAGATAGAGTCAACAGAAGATATGATCTACAGAGTACATATAACAAAGATCAAACCTATATATGAGGGATTTGGGGAAGATCCAATCCAGAGCGAGAGAAAAATCATACCTAAAAATCGGAGACCGGTCTGATGATTCGATGAGGCAAACAAGGAAGAATGGATGAGAGGCGTATATGGTGTTGGTTTTCGAATGGAAATTTGTAAAATTGGAGTGTAGTCCTTATAGTTACAATGTTGGACACATATTGTCCCTTAACTATCTCTTAGTTAGCAGTTTTAGTCCTTGAACTTTTGAAATACCCCGGCTAAAACACTCATTCATGATGTCGACATGAATGTGTTATCGTTTTCACGAAGAAAAATTGTCGATAGTTCATGAAAAAGAAAAATAGAGAGTCATCAAGTCATACAAACTAGAAAACACTTTTTTTATGTAATTATTTTAATCGTCTTATATTTTTTTTTAGAGCAAAAATAATTACATCTAGTAGGTAAAATTTATCAACCAATTAATTTAATTTATAGAACATTTTACAAAAGAAAGAAAACTCTATGATGAATTCAACAATGTCACTTTGCCTTAGTTTCCCATCAACAAACAATCTATTTTTCTAGCCTTTAGATGTACCAAATAGTAGTACAAACTAGGGGTGTGCAAAAAAACCGCAAAACCGAAAAACCGAGCCGAACCGGCCAATCCGAAACCGAAAAACCGAAACCGAAAAAAACCGTAACCGAAAAAAACCGAAACCGAAAAACCCGGATATCAACGGGTCGGTTTTTGGTTCTCATATTTAGGTATCCGCGGATACCCGAACCGAACCGTTTGATAATATATATATATATATATATATATATATATATATATATATATATATATATATATATATATATATATATATATATATATATATATATAAAGTAAAAAAAAATATTATTTCATTAGTATTGTTTTGATTGATATACGAGTTCAATAACCTAAATAAAAATCCATATTGACAGCTCCAATTTTGTAATTCTAAATTCATTTGATTTTCTTGTTATTTTTATTATTATATTTATTATACAAATTATAAGATATGATATTTAAACTTCATTATGTTTTTTTTAAACTCTTTGACTTACTAATTTTAAGAAAGAGATAACTAAAATGGACTTTGTAGTTTCAATTTAATTTAATTTTTTATATTTTACCGGGTACCCGTGAACCGAACCGTGGTTACCCGCTTTAATACGGTTCGGTTCGGTTCAGTTTTTTTGTTAATACGGTTCGGGTTCGGTTAGTGCGCATCAGGTACCCGCCCCGTGGTCACGGTTCACAATTTTATTACTATCCGAACCGAACCGCCCCGTGAACACCCCTAGTACAAACAACTCCATCCATCAAAACCTTCTCTTCCGATGAAAGAGGCAAATGAATAATTATCAAAACCACCCCGGTTATTGAATCAAACTCGTAGGATCTCCAACCATTTGAAAATTGCATTTTGTGTCCTAGGTGCCACTTCACATGTTACAGACAAATGGTTAAGTTGCTATACCTCCAACTTGCATGTATGACATAAAATGGAAGGGACATCCATTCCTAAGGTTGATAGATTTAATCTCGTTGGGATCCTATTGCCCAGAACACACCATATCATAATATTTACCTTTTTAGGTACAAAAGAGTTCCCTCTATTAGCCATACTCGAAGTTGGAAGAATGACATCATAAACCCATCTTCTAGTTTTCACTTACCGTAAATCTTCCAGCATCTCCAATTGATGGAGATTAGTGTCAATAGTCATAACAAGTGCGGTAAATTACTATAAATAGCAGTGTCCTTTTAGGTTACACGCAAGAATAAAATAAAACAGAACCAAAAATATATTTATATAATGGACTTGTATTGTTAATTAATTAATAGTTTAATTAATTAATTAGAAAACAATAGAATATGCAATATTTTAAAATGATCTGAATTCCATATATAATTATTATTATATTTGGTGATTATTTGTAGGGTTTCAAATCATAACCCTATATAAAGAGGGCTCCAAATCCGGTTTTGACAAGTGTGAAAAATACCTTTCGGTTATCAAAGTTCGGAAACCTGAAAACCCTAAAGAATTTTGAAGTACAGTTCCCACGATGGGTTACCTTGATCACCATATTGTGGCATGTCGCAGAATCGAGTTTTCGATTCGGTTTGTAGCTCATGGATCGAGGATTGCTTATATATGCTTCTAATTTATTCTTTCGGGCGATTACAAAAGACGAACTTTCCGTTGGGTTTTACAGTCCAATCAATTGGACCATCTAAAAAAGAAATCCACTAAGAAAGCAAAGGTATGATTATATCATTATGTCCTGTAATTTGCATTTATTATTGAGTTTGATTTGTTGTTTCGAGTCTATTAGATCATAATTGTTGTTTTCGTTGCCCATTATTTTGGTCTTTGACTAGGCTCGAAACTCGTCAGTGGTATCAGAGCCTAGGTTAACTCAATTCTATTGCACTTAGACTTTGTCTTCGATAGTATGTTAGGGTGTGTATGTGTTAGCTTTCTTGTTTAAATTAACTATAAATTTTCCATGATTAAAATCGAATATGAGTATGCTTGAAAATGACTATTGGTTCGTTCTACTTCTTCACCACATCATGGTTGTTCCCCCACCATGTTGTTGACTCAGTCGATGCTGAATTTAGATCATGACTGTTTTTGTCGCCACGTTGTGGTCTCCTCTTGGCCATGTCATCGACTGCTGCTAAGAACCCTAAAATAATTCGTGTGTTTTATGTGTGCCACGACATGGTTATTCATTCCCCACGTTATCCTTTTCGATTTTAAACACATACAAACTATTCTTTATACTAAAAGATAAAGTAAATTTGATTTAATTATAAGATTAATTAAAAGACAAAAGATTAGGACTCTTAAAATTTAATTGTTGACAATTTAGTTAATAGAATTAAAAGACATAAAATCTTCAAATGTGTGTGTGTATGTGTGTGTGTGTGTGTGTATATATATATATATCATATTTATATGTATAACACTGAAACAAATATTGTGTCCTCGTATATTTCCTAAATGGGCATTGTTAGTCTTACTACAATTAGGATCATCTGCTTTTATTACTATAAGGAAGGTTTTAGGAGCTCACTTCGATTCCTAATGAGGTTGGATTTTAAGTGTCATCTATTGCTCGTCACCCTCACCGCCTTCTTGCGTTTTAAAGTAGAGTTACCGAAAGGGTTTGATAGGACAATTGTCCAAAGTTAAAAGTATTTAACTTAATAAGTAGTAACACAATATCTCGTTTTATAATAATGTGAATTTTATGCTTCCATGGAAATTACTCCTTGTGGTATATTCCTTTTTATGTAAGCATGTATGGTTTACCAACTCGTCAAAAGAAGAGTATAGTCAAACAAAGGTATATGTTGATCGCGATTATCAACTGTTACTTGAGCCGAATCTCATTGTAACTTTGCATGGTCGATTCATCATTTTGATTCATGATCATCGGCTAATACAGTCATGATTATCAAATGCGCATTAGAAGAGAGTAACATGTTATTGACATAAGTCAATAAATCTTGTTTTCTAGGAATCCTATAGAGATTTAGATCGAAAATAGTTTATTCACCTAAATAACTTCATTTTGTAAATTTCGACTAATTAACTTTACATTGTGAGGCCAAACATGGATCCTAGCCTTTTGATTAATAATTTGATGTTGGGTAATTATAATAAAAATATTTCTTGATCAAAGTAATTGTGTTTCAGTTAAAACATTGTCGCGCACGATTTAAGCAAATAATATTTTCACTGCTTAGTTGTATTAAATCATAGCACAAGGAAGCAATGTCAAATCCTCAAGGATACATTCTAATGATTAATGCCTATTTATGTAAGACAAATACTGGTCAAAAGATAAAATATAAAAAGGGAGATTTTTTTATTTAAAACTAAAACTAAAAATTATAGTGAAATATAATAAAAACGAATTCAGCTTTGCTTAGGGGCAGGCCCAATAATTTTTTAAAGAGGAAGCAAATAAACATTTATTTATTTTTTTGTATGGGGGTAAAATATATTTGAAGAGTCAAAATATTATATGTTAGAGGGTCATATATATATATATATATATATATATATATATATATATATATATATATATATTGTGGGGCAGCTATCACCACTGCCCCCATTGTAGGACCACCACTGGCTCAGCTACGACTTTCCTAATCATGCAATCAGCCCAAATATGGTTATTCAGAATGAGTTCTATCTAATTTGATATTGATAAAAATAACAAGCTCTCGTATAATCTCATTACCTAGTTAAATTAACCAAAACAAGCTCTTTAGTTAACCTTAACTTTTTATTGTCTAATTAAACAAGCTTTTAATTAAGATCAGAAAAGTTGCATTAAGATTTGTGTAAAATTCTAAGAAATACCTAATACTTCTCACAAGCTCGAAAGCATAAAGGTATGGAGTTTCAGTTTATATCAGAGGTAAATCCTTAACACGAAACCAATTTGATACTTGTTACTTATTATAGTTAACAAGAACAATTACATATTCTATTAACTGATTAACTGAAATGATTAAACCTTAGCTAGGTGATTAGAATAATAAGAATTAAAAATAAAACATTCATTAAGCTTAAAAATGAAACAACCAGATAGAAGCCCACAATGAAAACCAAATCTGATAACGGATCACATGAAAAGTACTAGTCTATTGTAGAATTGAAAACTAGGATTTAGCCAGACATGGCTAAACTTTGATAAAAACTAGTAAAGAGAAACATTAAACTACTGAATCTTACTAAACTAATTGTATGAGATGATTCACATCCTTTAGATCTTTAGAAATCACTGAAATCATAGAGAAATCACCTCAAAAATCGTATTTTTCCGTTGTCTGAAGCTTCAAGAATTAGCCAACCTTTAAATTTATCAAAGAGGTGTCTTATATATACAAGCCATAGTCTTCGGGGAGCAAGAAACCTAAAATTTTGATCGAATTTTTGAGAAACGCGATCAAAATTTTTAAGTCTTTGATCGAATTTTGCATTTTTTATTTTTTGGGAATTTCTAAAACTGCAAAGTACAAATTCAATCAATTTTATGGGAAAAATTCGATCGAATTTATGTGTTTTTTGTAACGCCCATGTTTCTTTAGTTTTTAATGGGATTATGAATGAGTTCGAAAAGGTTCCCAAGAGGAGTTATGCTACTGAAAACTCTGAGTTCAATTAGTTGGATTTTCCTATAAATGAGATGTTGTTTATGGCTGCTCAATATCAGATTGTTGATAA